TATATATATATATATATATATATATATATATATATATAAATAATTTCTTGTTTTGAAATTGTAATTATGGATAACTTTATAATGAAAACTTTTGGGAAACATTTCACATTTCACGTCTAAATTATGATCAGGAAAACATAAATGGAAAGAGGGCCACTTTAGGAAGTAATAGCTTTCTCCACTGGATTTTGTGTTTTACCCAAATCAATTGGTCCACCATGACAAGGACAAGGACGCCTGTAATACTGTGCAGTGAAAAAATCCATGATGAAAGCAAACTCAACGGTTGAGAGGCAGCATGGAATCACTATAGTGACTGACCAATCGCTTGAAAAAAGAGGACAAAGGAACCAAGTAAACGACTAATCAGAGGTGAAGAACCACTATAACAAGGGTCATACTATTAATAGTTCCTTAATAGTCTATCCCACATAGTTGGCACCATAAATATAGCACTTGCACCAGAGAGTGCAACATTTGTCAACGTGACTGACGATTACCAAATTAGTTTCAGCAAAAGAATAGTGATATTTTTAGAATTTAATTGGAATACACTTGCGGTGTAAAAAAGAATTGCACAGGTATCTCGTCATAAATTGTCACATGATTGAGAATTATTGACTTTAGTTAAGATATTATTTTCCATAAACTCCCTATGAATATTTTTACATTCAACTGACTAAAATACAAAACTCAACAATTTTAATACACAACAGAATTTGTACTATTACTTTAAAAGTCAAATTTAGGATTATTTTGAATTGTTGACGGTATAAAATTATTTACACCATCAAATTAAACACTCACTGTTGGATAAGTTTAGTAATACAGTAGACAGAGACACCATTTATATTTTAGCAATCTAAACTTGTACTTTGAGCATCTTTGTTATGAAGATATTAATTAAACCAAAACTATACAATAATTGTCCTAGCAGCATCCATTTAGAATGTAAATAGATAGACATTTGAAGACTTATCTGTTCCAAAAGAGAAGAAAATGAAATTCAAGTAGGTTCCATTTTTTTTAAGAGAGAGAGAGAGAGAGAGAGAGAGAGAGAGAGAGAAACTATAATGGTTGCCACATTATGGAGATTAACCAATCTACTTCCTTCCATGGTTACCATAGAGGATGTCAATTATAAAGTAAAGTCTTCAGGTTCACAAAAGTCTAGGTTGTCCATGATTCACCTATTTTGTCTAATTTTGCCACTGCATAGTGGAGCCACCTGCTACCCCGTGATGCACAACAAAGATTTTGCCATGGAAATGTTTGTGGTCTCTTTTCAATTTCGATGCACTTTTACCCTTTTAAACAATGTTAAGAAACAACCAAATATGACTCACAGTGACTCAATTGACCAAAATGATGCAAAACAACAAAGCACGTACACCATAACTTCATTAAATCAATTCACAGTAACAAATAGCATATGGCCCATCCACTAGGACTCTTGTATACATTTCAAGTGATCAAGAATTGCTTCAAAAACTTTTTGGAGAAACCTTCAACCAAACAAAGTTTCATTCTGCATCTTCCTGTCCTGCATAATTACCCAATTGCCTTGTCTGCCAGCTCTCGTGTGGGGCTACATGATCATGGGAAGGAGAATAGTGCTGCAAAAAGGTGAATTTAGCATCAGCGTTATAATTAACACAGTAACAGTACTCTAAAGTCTAAACACTTCTTTCATACAAAAGAGGCCAAAAAAAAACAAGAAACAACACAGCACTTCAAAATCATTATTTATTATAAGCACTTCTTAAGAGTAAGAAATTTGAATATCTCATAAGGATACTTATACTATTCATGTTTACAAGTAACATAAAAACAGATAAATCCTATTTGACAATTATCACACAACAAAGGGCCTTGAAAGAGATGAATATAGGATAAAATATGAGCTCCAATCAATTCTCATCAGCCAAGTCAGAAATTATGGAAATACAAATGATCTATTTTAAGAATCTGTTAGAATACAATCAAAATTGTACATCGTTTAAACAAGGAGATGAATATGGACTTATATATACACAATTGTCTCTATTAGAAAGAAGTCTTTTGGCTGATGACTAAAAACAAAACCATGAAACTTAGACCTAAAGTGAACAATATCTAACCAATGTGGAGACATGTGTGAAAACCCCCCGATGCACAATAAGTATATCAAAATTGATGGCCGACCAGGAGACTAGCTTAGCAAGTATGATGGGTTGACAGGTGGATTTAGGTATAAGGTATATTTTATTAAAAGTCTTCCTAATGGTGGGTCTCTATATGGAAGAGTCTTAGTAATATGGAAGGTTAGAATGCATGTTCTGCCATCATGAGTTAATGATGGAACAGTGGTGTAAGTACTTCGAGCATGACTGAACTCTATAGATCATCATTCGATATACTGGCAGACTAATTTCCACTGTAAAAGGGAAGTAAACCATGGTACTTTGTTTGAGGAGCGGATTGTCGAGATATAATCTAAGTCTCACGTCTTTCAAACAAAAGGATAAACATGAATTTATATACACACAATTATCTCCATTGAAAAAAGATTTTTTAAATGATGACCAAAAGCAAAATTATAAGAGCTTAGATCCAAAGTGGACAATATCTAACCAATATGGAGATATGTGTGCATAAGAACTCCCCCAATGCACAATAGTATCTAATGCCAACTCTTTAACTGATTAGTTGAGAGCAACCTTAGCAGAAACCCTATAACGATGTACCAGCAAACATAAATGTTCAATTGTACTTTTCCTTATGAGTCTAGTAAATCAATCTATCATTCATCAGTTTATAAATTGAAAGAACTTTTGCATGTAGACATTTTCAGATGTTTCTTTCACGTGTTAAAGTAAAAATGGCTACTCATAGTTAGACCTCCATCTTCATCATAAGTTCTTTGGCTGATGAAGCTGCAACAAGTATATTCCGAGCACCACGCTTAATGAAGCCTTCTTTAACACCATTGTCAAACAATGCAAGCAAACAGTTATAGTAACCATCAACATTGAGTAGACCAACCTGCGCAGGATGATACTGAGTTAACACGTGATTACAAGTATACTAATGATTTTATCCTACTCAGTAACAACATCAGGTTACCGGTTTTTTATGAATTCCAAGTTGCGCCCAAGTTATCATCTCCAACAGCTCTTCCATAGTTCCATATCCTCCTAATTATACGGAAAGGAGAGAGGGTATAAGAAAGAAACAGTAGCTATTATACATGCAACAGTACACCAAAATAGTAAATTTTAGTATACAAGAGACCATCTTTTGTAACATTAACATGTGATAAGACATACATACAATCATCAATTATTTTTAAAACCATTTGGAAGCTATTCTGTTAACTACCAGGGAGAGCGATAAACGCATCAGCTTCTTGAGCCATTGCAGCTTTACGCTCATGCATATCTGAAACAATTCTTACTTCACCAACTGGTTCACCAGATATCTGTCAAAATAGCCCAAATACAAATTAACAGATCATATTTTCCACATTGGAAGCACTATAAAATATAAATTATTTCCAATGACAAAGGGACTACTATCATAAAGGAACCAACAAATTCTCTCCCAACTCAATCATTATACTGAGAGTTTGTTTGGATAAATTTCTCTAGAAGTACTTCTAAAAAAATAAGAAAAATTGAAATAAATTTTTCTATATTTTAAAACTAGCTTATGCATAAGATAAAAATAAGATTTTAAAGAAGTTAATAGGATAAATCTTCTACAAATTAGTTTGTGCATAAAATAATTTTAACTTATGAAAAATTCATTTTTATTGCTATTTTTCTCTCCTAAAGTTCTTTTAAAGAGGTTTACTCAAACATGTCCTAACTAATTAAATGAAGTGCTACTATCCAAAACTTAGCAAACAATAACAACCCCACCCCCACCCTCCAAAAAAAATTAACTTCTTCTAATTAATTTGACTCCAATCAAGATTAATTCTTCAAAAGATTGTATTTTGACCGTCAAATCATTACATAAATCCCAAAATAAACTAATATGAAACAAGAACTAGTTCATGGACAAAGATCAATTTGATTGTACACAGAAAGAAAAAAAAACAAATATATTGACACAGATCATTAAAGGTAACAGTTAAACAGGTAGTAGCACGAATACCTCATGAGGCATGAGAGCTTTTGGAATAACCCTGTATATGTAGAGAGGAGGAAAAATACAGGAAA